CATCTCCAACTTAACTGCGGGATATTTGGTTTTGCATATGTAACACTCCTTTCATTCAACAGATAACAGGGAGAGTTAGTCACCTAGTGAATCCTTAAAAAATAACAACACCCATAATTGTAAAGAGGGTGTGAGGGGGGGGCACTACCATCACAAAAGAAAATCAAAACAAAATCCCTGCCTGAGGGAATCCAAACTGGGCTCTGAATTTAGTCGAGAAAAATCTATTGAATGCTATTGAGATACTGAGATTCAATGGATTCGTTTCTTTCTCTTTATTCGTGGCTTCTAGTCATGCCAGCGGAAATGAAATCTCCTTTCAGACGGTACAGCCAAAATAAATGGAAACTTGAAAGGTACAACCGTACAAAACTAATTTCATAAAGCAGGGCTGAGAAAGAATTAGGCTGTGCGCGCGCACGCACACACCAGCAACCTCCAAGCAGGTGCAGCAGTGCACCAAGTCGTGAATCTCCGCCGCCTTCTGCGTGATTTTCTTAGAATCTTCGTGCCCGCAGGGATGGGGACAACGGGTCAAGATACTTGTCTTCCTCTAGGAAGAGCAAAGCGCCATCACACTGCGCCACTGCGGCCTGCCTTTGCGCACTGCGAATAGGGCCGCACCGAGTTCTGTTGGGGAAAACCCTGAGCGTTGATTTGCCCGCCTCAAGGGGGGATTCCTGGGAGTCGGTGAGTAGAAGGTTCCAAGGTGGCTCCTCTTTCTTGCGGGGTCCTGATCAGGGCTTGGGAAGAATCCTGGGGCCTCTTGGCTTATTCCTGGCAGACCCCAATGTGGGTTCTTCCTCCAACCGCAGAGGAACTAGAGGCCGCTGGCCCTCCAAGTTCTCCTGTCCAGAGGTTCAGATTGCCGTCGGGGCGCACGCCAGGGTTCACTGTGATCCACAGTTCTGCTCCGTATCAAAGTTGAGGTTCCACGGAGTTTTTAGAAAGCGCTCATCTTGGAAATGAGCGTGGATACCGGAAATTTCGCCGGAGGAATTATTTCCTTGGGATGTCGAGGAGTTTAGGCAGCCCTTGAACTCCTAGGAGAAGACCACGAGACTGCAGTCACACCCCCACAGCAGGGAGCGCGTTTGAAGCCGCTGGGGCGCGGGGGAGTTGTTAGGGTGTCTCCCGCCATTCTCTGACGACCCCTCTCCTGGCTTCACAGAAACCCGACCCTCGCGCCATGCACAGCCTTTCCTCTCCACGAGCCACGACCCTGCTGGAACAGTGCGTTACCGCCCCCAGTGCCCGCCGCCCGGACCCAGAGGGTCCCGCGCCCCTGTGCTCTGGGGAGCGCCAGACCGGAGACCTGGAGAGGCTTTGTGTTTGCAGGAATGAGGAGTTGTTGTGTCAGTCCCGGGGGCACGCGAGAGACACGCGCAGCCCGCCCGCCGGCAGCCCCACCCGGCCGGGTCCGGCCTCCAGGCACCTTCCGGGGCCCCCGCCCGCAGGCCGTTGCCTTTGTTTGGTACATTAGCATAAAGCTGCCGTGGAACCTCCCGTTCAAATAATTCCACACAAAAGGAGAGTGCATGAAAGAGAGCGAACAAGGGAGAATCCGTGAGGCTGCGCCGTCGGCCTGGCGCGGGGAGGGACCGCGCTCAAGTATTTCCCTCCCCTCGAGTTTCAAGTGCCCCCTGGCAATCTGCTGTGCGCCCATTATTCCACCGGGGCCCGACGGGGTGGCTGGCCGCCTCTTTTATCCTCCTGAGTGTGCCGTCGGGGCCACTGCACTGTCCCTGAAGTGCCCTTAGGGCTGTTTGTTTTTGCCCCGGTTGGGACAGTCCGGGCCGCAGAGCGAGGAGGTCCCGATAGTAGGGCGCGGGCTCGGCGACTGGAAGGGTAGTGCAAAAGCGGGCAAAGGCAAAGTCAGAGAACGTAGGACAGTCACAACCGGAGAATCTTGTCAAGAGCAGCCCAAGACAGCACTGACCCCATCGGGATGACATTGAACGTGGGACTCAAAAGTGGTCTGAGTCCACCTGTAAGGTGACAGGCCACTCACTAGCTTTGCGCGTCTCTGTCTCCGATGGTGAGCCTAGAGATGTGAAAGGCCGCGACGGGCCCAATCACACGCCCACCTTCTGGAGGGTCCGTCAGGGGCAATTTTTGACTCAGTCTGGGGTCCTGTCCTTGAGTTTAGGGTGTATATTCCTTCCTCCTCCATCACCGTTTCATTTTTCTTCTCTTCTTGTCCCTCTTTCCTTTTCTCATTTCTGTTCTACGCCATCCTGTTTCTTTTTTCACCTCCTCTTGTCCGTCATCCCACTTCCCTTCTCTTCCCTTCTTTCTTTCCCCACCTCTTTCTCTCCATCCTGTTCCACCCCTCCCACCTTCCTTCTCTTTCTTCCATCTTTTCCACTCTTGACTGTTTGTTTTCTCCCTCACTTCCAGTCTTTCCTAGCCTGACTGTCCCCCTTTCTACCAAGTCTCTCCCTCTTTCCCAGTGTTTCTTCTCAGCCCCTCTGTTTCTCCCCTCACCTCTCTGTTTCTGTCTTCTCTTTCTCTCCCCCTCCAACCTCCCTCTCTCCTCCCCAGTCTTCTCCCCCCCCCTTAACCCCCTCACTTTCTCCCTTTTACTCCCCCCACCTCTTCCCTCCTCCCCACAGGCCAATGTGTGTTATTTTATTTGTCTAGAGAGAGCCTATTTGTTCAGTGATGTGTGGCCTCCTGGTCGCCTGCTTTAATGGGGGACGCGGAGGCTTGGTTTCTGGAAGCATTAGCATACAGCTGCCGGGCTCCGTGCCCCATTCCAGGCTTGTACTTTATCCCAGCCTTATCATCACTTCTTCTCTCAACCAGAAAACAATCAACAGCTCCTCTCCCTGTTTCTTGGCTAAGACTCACTCACTCCAGTGCGTTCTAACACACACACACACACACACACACACACACACACACACACTCTTCTAAGGGTAAATATTGATTAGAGGGGTTTTTAATCCCCCACGCAATGTTTCCTTTCCCCTCTCACTTCATCTTTTATTTTTCTTTGCCTCCTTGTGTTATTTTAATCCAGTAAAATCACAAGGACCCATTTTTGCAAAGGAGGTAGCTATAATATTAAAAACTGATAGGGCATCAGATAGGGTGTTGTATGTGATGTGAGAGGATATCACTTTGGAAAATTAACTTTGGTATTTCCTTGCCAATATTCTTTGCTTAAAATGCAAAATTCCAAGCTCAGGTGGAAAGCCCAAGATATTCCCAGCTCAACAGCACTGAAATACACAGGGACTTCAAGTGTTTACCTGCCTCTACAAAATTTATGTCCTATGCACACCCAGAGAAGTCCAAATATTGGTCTTTTGGAAGCCCTTTCTTTTGCCAGGCTTTATCGTCTCTTTATTCCACCCTTAAAATAGCCAATTTCAAGCTATGGCCAATGGCTCTTGAATTCTTCTCTTAGGAAACTTGTTCTTCAGTGGTAAAGCTTTTAGGTCTACACGCCAGATTCAGGAAATTATTTCACAAATATGCTAAATTTCCTAGATTCAGGAAATTACTTTCTAAGAAAGGAGCAAGGATTCAAATAACATCCTTTGGAATACTTAGTAAGCTAAAGTATGTTTTAGATATTTTCAAATGTGTTCTAGTGCTTATGAAGATCCTTACCAAAAGGCAGCAGAGGAAAACTGTTATCAAATTTATGCATGATTTGGTACTAAGGTTGACATTGTCATTTGGGGTCATTTATATGCAACTAGAGGAGGCTTTATCATGGTAATAGTTGGTCACAGAAGTTATAACTGTTGATCCTCTAACTGAAGTTGTTCTGTTAATCTTCATTTCAGCATCCTAGGGTTTGTCACAGAAACTTGCTCCATTTGCTGATGAGTTTGACCCAAGTCCTCTCAGGGGAAAAAAACTAGGGAGAGAGTTGCCTGAGCTGACTCATTCTCCAGTCCCTGAAATATGGTTCCACGTGTGTTGGTTCTCAATTCTGAAGAGTGAACCAGGAGCAATTGTTTCCCATTCAAGTTACACAGTTTGTACCATATGGCCAGTGCTGGGCCCTCCCCCAAAATGACCCAGGCGTTTGTGTAAAATTTACATGTGAAGGAATTAATGGCATTTATGGCTTGATTTTGCCTGCCTTGAAAAAATCAGAGTCCAGTGTTCAATTCTGAAGCAATTTTGTTTTAGAGAAGTATCAATTTGGTAGTTCAAAATAATTAAGTGGTTTTCAGTAGAGAGTTGCATAATGTGTGCATAATTCTGTAATGCCAATTCTAACTTTTCCTAATAAAAATGGATAATCATTGTAAATGTGCCAACTTTTGCTAAATGTTAACAGAAATACAAAAGATGAACAAAAACTGGAATTGTGTTCCTGGAAACCAATTTTAAGCCCTGATGTTGGTCAAAAAAATCATGTCACATTATACTAAAATAGTTTCAAATAAATTAAAACAATCATATGTGTTGCTTCCCAGTTCCAGAATCCATGTGTTTTCTAGTAGGCAATTCATTTGCTTTATTTTATAAGAGAGAGGTTTTCTGATCCACCTTCCAGGTGACAGGTAACAGGGGAGCCCCTGCCTGTACTCCCAGCAAAGCAGCAGTGCTTAAGGTGAAAGAAAATACACTAGATTAATTTCCCACTTCCATTTTACAATCTAAAACCTGTGAGTGAATCCCTGGATCTTCCAGTTTTCCTGTGTCTTTATGCTCATAATCTGCAATATGAATTTAAAAACATAGGGAATATGATAGTAACCTCTTTGTTTCAAAGGTCATGGAAGCTTTTCTACCCAATCATTCCTTCTGATGTTGGGCTGTAGATTTAATTTCTCATCATCTGGTCACTAATTTTTCATTTGGGGCACATGCTTTTCTTTTGTAATCACCTATAAGTATTACTGGATAAATATACTAAGAACTAAATTGACCCTAGAATATTACAGGAAATAAAACAGAATCACACACAAGGTAAGCACCAGTTTTACACAGTATGATCTCATTTCATTGCTAAAATGGATTACTCTCACAGGAACATGTCTGGTATTTATTGGTAAAGCGTCCCTGCCCCAGAATAGAGACGCACGGTCGTGCGCCACCTCCTGGAAGAAAATAAAACTACAGGCATAAGTGAGGCGGAAAACAATCCAGGAAACCACGATGGCGCTTAGCTGTCAAGCCAAGCTTCTGGGAGCTTTTCTATTTCTACAGAGCACTTGCGATAACTAAATGTATGGATATAATACGATGGAGACCCTGGCCACAATTAAATGATGCCGGGCCACGCGTACATGGGCAGGTGGTAATGGTTATAGTGTAGATAGTCGAGGATGCTTCTTTCCACCAGGTTTTTGTAGATGGTTTCCTGGAAAACTCTCTTGAGGTATTTCCTGGGGCTCTCCTTCAGGTTTATTTCCTCGTCTTCTATCTGATGGGCTAACTGTTCTATGGAAGGAAGGTTTTCCTCCTGTGAAATGCAGTACAAGGTTAGATAAAGAAGTTGGACTCTGCACACCTCAATAACCAGGCAATTTTATAAAAGTAAAACAAAATATAGTCAATTCCTAAGGAAGGTAACTTTTTCTTGCTTTTCAGAAATTGTTTATAATCGTGGCAAATATACATAACATAAACTTTATTATTTTAATCATATTTCAGTGTACAGTTCAGTGGTATTCGGTACATTCACATTGTTGTACAACTATTGCTACCAGAACTTGTTCATCATCCCAAACTGAAACTCTCTGTCCATTAAATAATAACTCTGTTCTACTCTCCTCTCATCCTCTGGCAACCATAGTCGTACTTTCTTTCTCTATGACTACTCTAGGGACCTCAGGTGAGTGGAGACATTCAGTGTCTTTTTGTGACTGGTTTCTATCATTTAGCATAATGTCTTCAGGGTTCACCAAGGATGGTCATTTTATCCTCTTACTTTTCAGATAGAATTATCTGTAGGTCATACATACTTTAAGGTTAAGAAAGGAGCAACTGAACATTTGTGCTTGAAAACTCCTAGATAATTTTGTTGTTTGCAGTGCTTAAGAGATAGAATCTAATAACCTTAGAATAAAGTCAACTTTCATTGATATTTCTAAATATAGGGTTCAAAAGGAATACATTTATTTGAAGTTGAGGTTCAGATGCTATGTAATCTACAAAATCAATATAAAAAGGATACACATAAAGACAATTGATAGAATTGTACAGTGAACACCTGCACACATGTGTACACTACCTGAATTCTACAAGTAACATTTTACTGTGTTTGCTTCATTTCCATTATCTGCCTTTCTATAGAAGGATTTTTATAAAAATCATTTCACTCAGGTTTGAGGTGTGTGTGTTTTTTTACACTGTGATTTTAAACATTACCCTAAATATAAAGTCATATGGACTTTGATGATATATTTATTCACACTTCCAAGAATTCTTATTTTTTCCCTAACAAAAATGGATTACTTGCAGGTTGCTACTGGATCACTAATTGATTTTATTTATTTATTTATTTTTAGTTGTATATGGGCTCAATACCTTTATTTGTTTTTATGTGGTGCTAGGATCAAACCCAGTGCCCTTACACTGGTGAAGCAAGTGCTCTACCACTGAGCTAACAACTCTCGTCCATGGACCACTAATTTATTAATGGTAAAGAATGAATAGAAAAGAAGATTCATGCTTTATGGAAGCATGTCATCACTGGGTTATTTAAGCAGATGTGGAAAATTATACACAACATCTGGAAGAACAGTCTGGGAAGATCACAGGAATTCAGGTTTAAACCAGCTCCACAAGGCAGGGAGAGGGGAAGAAGAGAACTGATGCCATTATCTTAACATTGGAGGTGCTTGAAACACTGAGCACCACCAATACATATCCCTGGAAAATATTCCACAGATACATATGGGATTGATTCTTCCTTAAATTCACTGAAGAGTTGTATCAAACCAACACAAAAACAATGAGCTTATTTACAGTTTCATGTTCAATATGTGGCTTTTTTTGTTTGTGTCTGTCTTCTTTCACTTAGCATAACATTATCTTCTTAAAAATCTTCTGAAAGTGTCTTTTCAAATTGTATTTTTAATCAACAAGTAATCATATTATATGTTTATGTGGACAATGTGCTGTTATGACACCTGTCTACATCTTGGAATGAGTAAATCAGTCTAATTAGCATATGCATCACCTCATATGCTTATCATTTCTTCATGGTGAGAATATTTATTCACTTGTTTTTGTGTTTGTGGGGATTGAACCCAGTATGAGAACATTTAAAATCTACTCTCAGCAATTTCAAGATATACTATGTATTATTTTTATTATTATATTATTATTAACTATGGTCAACACATTGTACAATAAATTGCTAAAACATTTTCTTCTGTCTGAAACTTTGCATTCTGTACTTTGAAACCAGGTAATGTAACACCTCTAAACTTTGTTCTTCTTTCTCAAGATTGCTTTGATTATTCTGTGTCTTTTGTGGTTCCATATACATTTTAGGATTTTTTTTTATTTCCGTGAAAAATTCCAATGGAATTTTGATAGATTTACATTCAATTTGTGGATTGCTTTGGATAGTATGGACATTTTTAACAATATTTATTCTTCCAATCCATGAACATAGAATGTCTTTCTCTTTACTTGCGTTATCTTCAGTTTCTTTCATCAACTTTTTGTATGTTTGTTTTTTCTGCAAAAAGCTTTATTTTCACTGGGTTCAAGGCTTGGAGAGGGCTCCAGAGTAGTTTAAAAAGACAGAGGGAGAGGCTTAGTGGAAGCCCTGATACTAGAAGATGCAGAAGGGGCCCTCAAAAGTCACTGGGCTCTGGAGCTCCTCGTTGTGCTTGAGGATGAACTTTCAAGGAGACACCTCACCAGGTCTGGGAGCCACAGGCTGGGGATATCAGTCAGGTGGCTGTCCATCCTCTTGATGAGTTTTATATCTTCATTTGGAAATTCATTCTCTAGCAAGTCACAAAGATAGGGATCCATGTGAGCAGAATCCAGGGCTTGCAGATCCACTTGGCTTAGGCCTTTCTCCAGGGCCATGGCAGCTTCCATGGTGTCCAGGGTTTTACTCCACATCTTGAGAAGGCACATCTTAGAAGAGGGCATGGTCACTGCATTAGTTTTGTGTCTTTCAAGAGATGATCAGAGCTCTCATGCTTTTCCTCAGCCAACTTGTCAAAGAAGTGGCCCACATCCTCCAGAGTCACATTGTCACAGTTGAAACAGTAGCCTAGAGGGACTAGGATTGTGGCTCAGTGGTGGAGCACTTGCCTTGTGCCTGCGAGACTCCGGGTTTGATCCTCAGTACCATATAAAAATAAATAAGTGAAATAAAAGTATTGTGTCCAACTACAAGAAGAGGAGGGGGAGGGGAGGGGGAGGGGAGGAGGAGGGAGGAGGAGGAAAGAAAGAAAGAAAGAAAGAAAGAAGAAATAGTAGCATAGAGAGGAATAGGTGTAGGAGGCCCAAATATGTAAATTAAACAGTTGCTGGTGGTCTCCACCTCTGAATCTGGGAGGCCATGGTTGGTTGGTGATAAGGAGCTAACAATAAAAAAATGTTGGCCTGTTTTGCAGGCAAGATGTGAATGAGAAGATGGTCCTAAAGCTTGCAACTGGAGAGAAGATTGGAAGGTGGTTGGAAGCTGGAAGAGAGGGACCCCCCTGGGGCCTGTTCCATCCAAACATCACTAAAGCAAGAGACAGACCTGTGGGACTTCTGGGCAGGCTACTCTCATCATTGTCTCATAGTTTTCAGTATACAGATCATCCATCTCCTTGGTTAAATTTACTCCTAAATGTTTTTTATTCAGTTGTAAATGGGAATGTTTCCTTAATTTGTTTTTCAGGTAGATATTGTCAGTATATAGAAATGCTACTGAGTTTTTATACTGATTTTGTGTCTAATTTTACTGAGTCTATCAGCAAAGTTTAGAGTTCTCTTTGTGTGTATGTGTGTGGATTATTTTCTCCTCCTTGTCATTCCCCTCTTCCTCCTTTTTGATGGATTTTTTAGAGCTTTCTGTATATAAAATCACGTCATCAACACAAAGAGACAAATTTACTTCTTCTTATCTTATTTGCATGGCTTTTGTTTCTTTTTCTTGCCTAATTGCTGTGGATATGATTTCCAGTACTATATTAAGTGGAAGTAGCAAGAGTGGGCATACTGGTCTTGGTCCTGATGTTAGAGTCAAAGATTTCAACTTTTCATCATTGAGCTTGATATTAATTTTGGGCTTGTCATATATGGAGAAATGTTTCTTATATATCTTTATTTTTTGAGAGTTTTTTAAAATCATTGATTAAAGCATTTATCAAACGCTTTTTCAGTATCTATTTAGATAATTATATGATTTTGTCCTTCTGGAATAAGGTTTTGAGGTTCATCCACTTTGTAAAATGTACACTTCATTTATTTTCATGGCTAAATGCTGTTCCAGGTATGGATAGAGCATATTTGTTTATCCATTGACCTATTGTTGGACTTTGTGTTGTTTCTTCTTTCTAGCTATATGAATAGTGCTTTGAATATTTATTTATTTATTTTCGGTACTAGGGATTGAACCCAAGGGTGCTTGACCACTGAGCCACACCCCAGCCCTTTAAAAAGGCATCTATGTATCTATCTATCTATCTATTTATATTTTGAGACAGGGTCTCATGAAGTTGCTGAGGCTGGTTTTGAACTTGGAATTCTCCTGCTTCAGCTTCCTAAGTTCTGGGATTACAGGCATGTGCCACTGTACATTTATGAACATTTATGTACAAGTATTTGTTCAGATATCTTTTTCAGTTCTTTTGAATATGCTTATGGTAGTGTAATTGCTAGGTCATGTGGTAATTTCGTGTGTAATTTTTGATGAACTATCAAATAATTTTCCATAGCAGCTGTACAATTTTGTATTACCACCAGCAATGTCTCCATTTTTTCACATCCTCACCAACATTTATTTTCTCTTTCTTTCTCTCTCTCTCTTTCCTACAGCCATTCTAGTGGGTGTGCAGTGGTATCTCATTGTGGTTCTGATCTTTATTTCCCCAATGATCAATGATATTGAGTATGTTTTCATGTAAATGAGCTTATATATTCCATATGGAATCTTAATTTGGTTCCATTGATCTATATATCTATCTTTATGCAAGTACCACAATGTCGTGTTATTAAATTGTTGTTGTTCTGGAGATTGAACCCAGGGATGCTTTACCATTCCTTGTCCTTTCTATTATTTTTTTATTTTGAAACAAGTTCACCCTAAGTTGCTGAGACTGTCGTCAAATTTGTAATCCTCCTGCCTCAACTTCCAGTGTCACTGAGATTACAGGCATGTACCACCATGCCCTGGCCTTGTTTCTAAATCTTGAAATTGGAAGTATGAGTCCATCAACTTTGCTCTGTTTTTTTTCCCCAAAATAATTTTTGGCTATTTGGAGTCCTTTGTGTTTCCATATG